GGGTGGGTGGGTGGGTGGGTGGTGCGTGGGTGGGCCGTTGTCGGTGCGAATACCCTTACATGGGTATCCACCCTGGTTTTTGCAAGCGAGAAAAGATAAGTTTGGTTTAAAGTTTAAGTATACCGCACGAGGTGCGGCTGCGTCTGCGGTTTACATTGACAGGATTGTTGACTAGAGCAGAGAGTGTGTGGGCGCRCAGGCTTAARGCGCGCGTGATCTCTTTTGCTTTTAATGATKGTGAAAGCYGGCGTTGGTCGCCGGCCAGACTTTTATCCTTCTAATTAAGCTAGGATTAAAAAGATTTGTCTCCTGATTGGTGCGCTTGGTTGTGACTTGTGCGTACATGCGGAGGACGGTGTCGACRRCAATGTGATTTTTGAAAAACGTTTCGGTAGGTCTGCGCGTCGCGCAGTATCGGTTTATTTAGGCATCCGTCAAAACTAGACTCAGCCTTGCATAGAATACTATTGGTTATGGTGTTGGACTTTCATCTGAGAGATTCAGGGATCAAGAACGAACGGCGACATCGCGAGGATATCAGAGTAGTGCGAAGGGACCGAGGAGTTGGGAGCCCGGCAGGGCTATCCCCCTTGGTTTTGCCGTCGACGGCTTAAGAGCGGTTCTAGCGGGTTATTTTTCCTCGTTGGTCATATTCTGAYGATCTAAAGTTTTTATATATTTTTATTTATCGTTGTATTATTTATTATTATTTTGCTCCGGCGTTTCTTGACTCAGGCGCGATACCGGGGTTTGAAGGTCGGCTCGAMGGTCGAGGACCTTGAGCGCACACCTCTTTTGGTTGACTTATTACTTCTTAGTACTTCCTACGTGTTCGGGGTGCCAATGAAATTTCCTTATCTGGTTTGACTTAAAACACGGGCCGGCGAGTTTAACATGCATGCGAGTTGATGGGCGGTTAGCCCACGAAGTGAAAGGGAATTGAAGCGTGTCCCGAGCTAGCCTGTGGGGCTGTAGCYAGAGGTTGGCAGGGGCTTTACCGCGGGCGTACCAACCACYGCTGCCGCGAGGAGGAGGCCCGCCGAGATACTGGGTGCGGGCAGTAGTTTCACGGGACCCCTCTCTGCCCCGGTCCCACAAGATTCTCGCCTGCTACAACCACTAGGGACAGTGCATGAAGGGTCGCCCTGGTAGCTCGACATGCCCCGCACAGATTCGATGTCATCCGCCTCTTAGGTCGATCAATTCGGCAGGGAAGTCGTCCCAACACTCTTCGGCGGGTGAGACCTATACACCGAATCACCTTGCTGCCTATGTCAAATCGCAGYGCCCCACGGTACCTGAGCTGAAGGGGAATAGGCACGGCTGGGCGGGGAGCCGAAGACAKTGAAGGGGGGAGAATGTGGGTATACTRCAGCAGTACCTCCGTGAGCAGGGCTAAAGCTGCCTCGTGACTAACTCAACAGAGGCCGCAGGTGTTGAAGTCGTCATGGTGGGCCGCTGCGACGGGCGCTGAGGCTGTGGAGCAAGGCGGAGGCGGCAACGAGCGCTAAGCCAGGGGTAAGGCGGACGGAGACAGCGATGGGGTTTGGAAGTGATGGATGTAGAGAGGGGGGAAAGGCCGAACCCGGCTGTCGGACTGCGTCAGGTGCACGTAAAGAAGTAGAAGAAGCGCAACGACAGGCGGGCAAAGGTAAAAAGAAAAGGGGAAAGTTGGATCCGGACGTGAAAGTCGTGAACGTGCGTGCAAAGCAGAAGAGAACAGCGATCGATAGGGGAGAGCGGAGGAGTCAGACAGCGGAACAACAGGCGCTGACGCAGTGAGGAGTGGGAGTAAACGAACCTGGCGCAAATTTGTGCTGGGTGCATTCGAAGTTTGAGAGACAGCGAAGGAGCTATGGCCGAGTGAAGGAGACACAACTCGCCCGTTCCTTAACGGAATCAAGCAGAGTAAAGGCCGATTTTGGGGTTTTGGCACCAGGYGAATCACGTGGTAAGGTCAGTTTGGCCGTTGGGTTAGTAGGAAGGGAGCTAGGTAGAGAAGTTAGAGCGCGGAGAAAGCGAGGAGTGAGGGAGGAATGAGAGAAAAAATCGTCAATCTCCCCCGTCTCTTGACGAAAACGGGCGGGGGAGGAGCCGAATATGGGGTCTTCGAGCCTGGCGACCCCAATTCCGAAGTTAGATTCGATGGAAAGTTAGTAAGGAGGAGGTTAGTACAGAGAGGTGATGCGCAGATATTGCGGACAAAGAGGGAGGCGAGGTTGGTGAGTGTAAGCCTCTTCGATCCTTCGTAGGATCGAACAAGGAGAACTACTAGGTGAGGAAGTCTGGGGTGGGCGACATTAAATTTGTATTTAGTGTTGATAAATAGTTAGTAAGAAGAGAGTTAGGGTAGAAAAGGTGGGAGATGAGAATTAACGAAGGGAGATGACTATGGTGGAAGTAAAAATCAGCTAGTTCGCCCGTTTTCTTATCAAAA